GGTTTCTCTTTTCTGGAAACTCTTTTTTTTTTTTTTTTTTTTTTTTTTTTTTGCAGAGACTGGGCGAGTGAAGTTGTGCTTCATTTTTAGAGTTTACACAGGGAGAGCTGCAGCACAGCACGTCGCTACACGCAGGGAGGAGCGGAGAAGAGGGCAGAAGTTTCCGCTGGCTTGTTTTGTCACCGCGGGGCTGCTGGTGGTCAATCCGCAGGAATGTCGCACAAGGAGAGACCCGTTTTTTACCGACAGGAGCTCAACAAAACCGTGTGGGAAGTCCCGCAGCGCTATCAGAACCTGTCTCCGGTCGGCTCCGGTGCTTACGGATCCGTGTGGTGAGTAGTTGCTGCTGCAGAGTCCTGTCGAAAGCTCGCGGCGCGATTGCACAACGACCGACTGGCTTCCCATTACCCGCGGAGGCCAAGCGAGCTGGCTCTCCTCGGGAGTAGTTATTAGCTTGCATCGAGCTTCCGTGGAAGACATGCTTGAACAGCAGCTATTGTTTACAGCTTCTCGTCGTGCACTTACCATAGCAGTTCGCGTCAATTTCGGGCTTTGATTTATGTTTTGTGCACATTTGCTTGCGTTTCCATGCTCACTTTTGCTTCTTCTTCCTTTTTTTTTTTTTTTGCTTCAAGTTTTAGCGACACTCCTGGTGTCTACTGTGCAGACGGCCTTCGGTTTGCACTGGTCCCTCCTCTGATTAGATGACATGCCCATACTTGTATCCTATGGAGAAAGGGTGCCTCCTCGTTGCATCTGTTCTGATGGTGTCTGTAAATAGCATGGCTGCTCTTAGTCCTGCACGTAAAGAACTAACTACCTGACCCGTCCTAGTATTGCATGTACATTATTCATTTTCCAGTTGGGTGCAGCCTGCAGAGTACCAGGAGGTCACGTGGTTTTTCGGAAAGCAGGCCCCCTTACTTCACATCGTTCTACAGGAACCCATCCGAGGATGATGATGATGACTCTAGTCTGGAATGATGTCATCCTTTCTCCCGTTGTGTTACACACGGATGAGTCACAGTCCCGAGGTTAGGTGTTGGCCTCAGCTGTGACGCCCTCCAACTCAGCCATGTCATTATGATATAGACGTGTTGGACCTGTAACTTTCCTGCTTACTTTGACCCAACTTTAGCTGCTTGTAAAGTCTTTTGCAAGAGGAATTCCACGGAAGTGCATGCCCATATTTAGAATTGACGATAATAACCGCTATTAAAGTGAATCGGGAGAACTCTTGCAAAAGTTTTCATAGCCCCCCCCCCCCCCAGCTTCATGTCGCAATCACAAACTGAAGGGGTTTTTATGTTAGGGAGCCACAAAACAATTGCATCCAACTGTGAAACGGAAGTCATTTTAGTCTGAGTGCAAATTCAGCTGTTAAGTGAATGCCTCGAAGGTTTATTGGGTTTATCAGAGAGGATCTTTCGGAGGACAATATTTAGCCAGTAGACCAGAGTTTCAACTCAGCAAAAAGCTCTCACTTAGACATAAATGACATTTCCAAAAATACTGAAGGCCATACAGAGTAGGAAGCACTGATTAGAAGTAGAGGAAAGAAGAAAACATACACATATTGCACCAGATATTGCCATCGTAATATTTGCTAATGTTATTGCAAGATTTTCTAATATTGTGCAGGCTTAGTTATTCATATATTAAAATGGCCTAGTCAAATTTCCCTAATTCATGTTCACTCTCTCCATCCAAACTTCCTTAGGATTTTGCAAGGAAATTCCTCAAAAAGACCTGCAGTAGTAATCAAAGCATGAAGTCACTGTAAAGGCATTGATCGATTACACACTTTCAGTTTTAATTTATGAAAAAAATATGAAAGCTTTGTTTCTTTTTTTGCCTCATTTCTCAATTATTTACTATTTTGTGTTGGTCTGTCGCATACAGTTCCTCCAAAAGTCAGTCAAATGGGACACAGTCTAAAAAGTTGTAATGCTGTTATTACTCTTGTGAGGTTCTGTGTGATTTATATGTCAAACTATTTTATATTTTTCTTTTACGCTTATCTTTTCCTTGCGACTTTACTGCAAAAGAGCTGATAAAACTTTGAGCTTGCAATTTCACTCATGTCACACTGCTGTCAGCTGCTACTGTTTTTAAAAGTAAAGCAAATCAAAAAGGGAAAAAGAAATCCTTCTTTTTTTTTTTTTTGAATCCCACAACAAGTTCATGCCTTCTTTGTCAGAAACATCAAAGCCTGTTTAACTACAGTAACTTCTAATAAATCATCCGGCCAGTTTCTCCAAACAGCCTCCAGCCTCTGAAATCCCTCAGTGTTTCTGAAAAGCATGAATACCGTCAGCTCCTCTAGCTGCACTCCTTTTGAGTCTTTTATTGTTGCTCCCATAGTATTGCTCAATTTTGTCACACAAATTTGTGCGAAAAAGATTTATTATGCTGGTTTATTTGGTTTCTCTCTCGGTGATATAATGTGAAAACAATCCCATGTCTTCTTAGCAGTGCTCAGTTTTATTTTAAAAAGTCGCACTGATTCAAACGATTTTAAAGCTTTGTAGAGTTTACCCTGAATGTCACTGTTTGCAGAAAGTCAGTGTTGAATGGTTTAAATAGGCTCCAAGTTGACTTTTCTCAGCTAAGAACAACAACAAAAACACGAACCCAATACAGAGCCAGAGGTTAGTCACATTTTAAAGTGTCAGACAGTCAAAGATAAAAATGGGGCACAAGTGTGTAGCAAAGTTTTTGAAATTCAAATTACACGCCTTGTTGTGCTCTGACTCACTCAGTTCTTGTCTCGCAGTATTATGTTTTCAGCTTAAGTTTAAGAACAAGTCATTTTCTGTCTTTAACTTCAGCATCTTTAGAAATCATTTTTAGTCTGTAGGTTGGATTGGACGTCACAAAATGTTACAGCAACTCTCAAATGGTTGAAAACTTCAGTTTAACATATTTGCAGTCTATATACTGCAGTTTAGTTTTTCTTTTTCATGTTAATACTGCTTCAGTTTGCTCAAGAAAAACAAAAAAAAACCCAGTAAATAAGCAGGGTGTAGCCTGGCTGTCAATTTTGACTAAGTTATCACAGCTCTTATATTTGTCATACCAGTTCTTGCATTGATTGCTCTTGTTGCCTTATGTCGCTAGGAGGACATCAACACCTGAGCTCTGTAATTATGTGCATTGTGAGCTCTGACATCTTGAGCCCAAAAACAGCAAATCGAGATGATGAAGAGTGCAAATACATCTATGACAAACCTTAGAAATGGCTTATTTTTTCTTTTTTAGTTTGTCATGTTTCTCAAAGGTTAGTGTGTTAACTGGAAAGGCTGCACTGGCCTACATTTCTGGATCATCTTGTCTTAAAATGGATAAAAAGATTAGTACTCATAACACCTGTCTTGCATACCTGCGTTAATTAGTTTTATGTCTTGGTGTGTTTTTTTTTTCCCTCCATTCTTTGCAAATGAAAATTAGGGTTGTGACAGCAAAAGTCACCTAAAATTATTTTGAGAGCCTTAAAAGTTGTAAGAATTATATTTGTCCTTTTTTTTAAAAAAAAAGGATGTTTTTTTATTCACTTTAGTTAATTTAAATATTGCATTTGTACGCGATTGTTCTAAAAACAAACGCACTAAGTAACAAAAGCTAAATGCATTGTAGACTTCTATGTAAAGTTTTGTTTAAACCTTTCTTTTTGTTGTTTTCATTTGATTAGAGTTCCCAATGTGTTCCTGCTGAAGACATTGCTAGAAATAAATATAGGAATAGATATAAATATCCTTTGTGGTCCCACAGAGGGGAAAAGTTTTTGTTGTCTCAGTTTAATCACGTTGGTTTATGCTCTAATAATCTGAAATTTCACTAAAGAAAAGCACCTGTCTTCAGACTCTTGTGATTAGACTGCATAAAAACTTGCTGAGGTGTTGTTGTCAGATGTGTCCAAACACCGTAAGATAAAGATCTCGATGTGTAAATGAATGTAGGGGGTGGCACAAAATGGCTTACTCAGATTTAGTTCACACAACAATGCGACTGTAGGTTTACGATTTTCTCCAGGAGAGAACAGCTAAAATGCACTGAAAGATGACACTGCACCCATTACAGACATCTCTACCAGTCATTTGTAGTACACATTTATGTGTTTGCTCACTTAGCGTGCCTGTTAGTCAGCAGCCTGGCTCTCCACTTCCATGAGAAGCTGGCCTCACAGCGCTGCTCCTTTTTTTACAGCCCACAGTTTATGGCCATTTGTTGCTGCACTTCCATTTATCTCAGACTAATTGGACGATGTGTTCTTAGGCTTGTTCTGTTTGCCTTGTAGATTAGCAGTAGTTTTAAACATGGTTTGCTCGTGTCATATTTTTTTTTTTTATTTTAGTTCTGGTTCTGCTGAGTCTGACTTTTCCCTCACTGCTGACACACATGGTTGTTCCTCAAGCCTCCAACATTGGGTGTGGGAGATTATCTTCGGCTTACTGGAAAGAGCGCAATGCTTATCTTAATGTTCTTGTTATGGACGCATGACAAATAGGGTCATAGTTTACCACTAACCCTGCTACAGCTGGGAGTAAATTCTAGGATGTGTTTTGCATTCTTGGTAGTTTAAAATGTTGACCGTCCAAGTGTGTATTAAGGTGTCCAGGAGAAATTTACACTGCTCTGTTTCTGAGTTTTGCTGCTCATTGACTAAAGTTCCTGTTTTGTATTTGTAGTCTAGTCTTGACAAAAAGCAGACTACCATTGTAACAACAAATTTGTTAGCATCATTATCAGGAAAGATTGCTATTTTTTTTCCACCTGGGTTTGCAGTCATCTTTATATCTATTCAGATTAGGTGATTGACCTGAGAGGAATGTGGGTTATCTGAAGCAGGTTGTGCTCCTTTCAGATACAGTAAAGGCAGAAATATGTTGTGTGTTTTAAAGGAAAGATCTGTCTGCCTGTGTGTTGAGGAGACCACGGAAAATCCCTGAGTAACGCTTGAAACTTGATAAAACAAAATCACTTCTCTGCTTTTCCGAGTGTTGCATGTTTGGTCCGACCGGATTCGCCGTTTTTAACAAAAAAATATCCCGTTCAACTGTTTTTATTTAGAAACCGTTGCTTTGTAAGCAAAGAAGTTGTGCGGCAGTCTTCTTTTTAATTTGAAAAATCTCTGCAGTGTAAATAATTAATCACAAATTAGCATTTTTATAAGGTAGCAATATTTGATGTTTTTCCAACTCCAGTAATTTTTTTGCATGCAATTTCTTTGATGTAGAGTCTAATGACTTGCTAAATAATGCATTCAAAGCAGTCCTTTGTAATTACAATACAGAAATACAGTACACTTACAGATATTATAATCAGCATATGTATGTAATAAGGATACCTAATATGTTGTGCAGTTTTTGTGTGATAAGAGTAATTAGTTATAAGAGATTTGATGATGGATATGTATTCCCCAGTACAAGGTTTTTAAAGTTGTAATGCTTAATATAATGACGAAATCCGTCTTTACAGCATGCAAACTTAGCAAATGTAAAATACTCCATATACAACGGTAGGTTTGCTTTATCTGGACAGTGCTTTGAACAGCAGTTCAGTACTAAAGTGGCTATTGTTCTTCTGCCTGTTGCCGTTGTTGAGAAAATAAATTTAAAATAAGCTAGTTTTAAAACTTAACATGTCTTGATTTAAATGGCCTAATTGTGGTTTTGAAATTAGTAATGTATTCTGGCCTATTGACCTTTAATTTACCTGTAGTTACAGCAGATGGTTTGCTAGGATCGTTTGAACTGCCTTTTGTCTGTGTGGGAAAACAATACAGTGGAAGTTGTAGCTTTTCACACTCATCTGTGAAAGGCCGTAAACACGGCAGGGGTTTCTGGCTTGAGAGAGGGTCAGAGATAGCTCCTGGATTGGATGAGCAAAGATACGCCTTATTTGAATAAATTAAATACAAGAGGATAAAACTTTCTACACAGAAGTAACAAATCAGATTTTGCTCTTGCAACTTCTCCAAAGACGTCTTTGCTTTTTGTTTGTCGTTTCCATCTTTTGTCTTTCTCTCTCAGGTAAATTCATGTGTTGTTTGTGCTCTGAGGTTTCTGATGTTATGTGATGTGCTTTTCTGGTGATAGTATGCATCTGTCTTGAATAAATGCTGATTATTGTGACGCTGTTATTTCTGCGTGATCTCAGTCCTTGCGCACAGCATTTTTCTGAACCCGGGCATAAGAGAGGATTTAACGAGTCAAAAGGTTTTTAAAGTTCAAGAATTTTTCCTCTCTTAACACCGTCCACAGCGGTCATAATGTTGAGCAGCAGGTTCAGTTATTAAAGTAAGAACTGAAACCGAGGGCTCAGTGTTATGCAATTATTTGCTCCGTCTGCTGGGTTGTGACCACCTACACAGTCAGGTGAAGGATCTCGCTGTCGGCTAAATCAAGGGAAACGTTGAGCTTTTGATGCAGTTATTTATTCCCCGCCTGCATTAAGACATCGGCTGCCTTCGTCTCACGCGATTCATACGTTCTGCTCGTTCACAGCTCGGCGTTCGACGAGAAGACGGGCCTCAAGGTGGCGGTGAAGAAGCTGTCCAGACCTTTCCAGTCCATCATCCACGCAAAGAGAACGTACAGAGAGCTGCGGCTGCTCAAACACATGAAGCACGAGAACGTAAGTCCCCCTGCAGTTCGGCCTCCCTCGCTTCCAGCAATACCTCTGTCCTGGCTCTGCAAACCCGCACGCAAACCTGCATATGTCTTTTGTTTATTTTAAGCCTTAATAACCGCCCGGTCACATCTATGTCTGCTGTACATGCAGGGAGAGCCATGTGACATTAGGGCATCATGCAGTGCTGATTCTGGAGGGGGGGAAGAGAACAGAGGGAAACATGTTGTGACACATGTAACTAGACTGTATTAATCGGGTTACAGGTTATTTATATGGCACGTTTGAAAAGGCTCCAATTATGAGAAAAGTGAAGGTCATAGCAACACACTGAGGTTTCTGTTGTTCTGTGAATGATGGCATAACCAACCCAAGACCAAACTGGCCAGCTGAGGCAGGTGTCGGCTCTTGCTTGGAGAGGTTTTCCCCCTGCGTGTGGCTCTGTGCCGCTTTGTGCTTTCTGAGTCACCAAACAAGTTTACTAGATGCACTCTCCTCACCCACTGCTCTACGGAGTCTTCTTTCTCTGTGTGTCCCTTTTTGTCACAGTGCATTACTCAGGGCAGTGGCTTCAGTTGCCACAAATCACTGCTTCTGCTTCCATTTTGATTGAATAGATTCCAAAGTCTGGATGAGCATGAGGAAGAAAAAGAAGTATGAAAAATATTTCAAATTTGTTGTTTCCATTCTTTCTTTTCTTTATTCCCTTTCTTCTTTAAAGCTATACTTTCCTTCCTTCCGAAATTCTTTCCCTTTTATTTTCTCTCCTTCTTTCTGTCCCTCTTTGTGTTGTTCAAGTTTTTATTGGTATCCTTCATGCCGTCTTACTTTTTTCCTTTTGTCTCCTTCCTTCTCTTCACTTTCTTCCTTGTGTCCTTATGTTTCTTTCTTTCCTTGGTCTCTCCCTTTTTGGTGTCCTTCCTTCCTTCTGTACTTTCATTATCCCACGATCCTTCCTTGCTTTATCTGTGTTCCTTCTTCTGTGGCGTTTCCTGGTTCCAATTTAAAGCTTTACAAGCATGAACTTAAAAATGGAACTCTACAAATTAAAAAGTATTTTATATGAAAATTGTAGGAACTCTAATAATAGTAGCACTCCACAAATGACTGAATTACTCTACATAAGCAGATATCGGCTATTTAAGGTTTAGAACTAAGTTGTGTGTGGAGAAATTTGCATGGCTAAGAGTTTGTTTTTGTTGGTGTGCTTGCAGCTATCACAGGAGTAAGAGACTTTGCTGAACAAATATCTGAAATTCCTTTCTTATTTTCAATTCTTTGTCTTAACCCCCCCCCCTTCCCCCGACATTTGTTTGTCACATTCATTCATTCAGAAATTCAAGATTAGTCCTCTAAACACCCACTACAAAATTAGCCCAGCACTCACAATACACAGTAAATGATTTAAGTGTTGGCACAAGTTTAGTAAGCAGTGACAGCATATCAACTAGAGGTGGTCCGATCGATCGGCCACCGATCATAATCGGCCGATTTCCGTGAAAAATCGGCCGATGATCGGTGATCGCCGATCACGGTCTCTTGTTGCCGATCACACAGACTGATTACCTGCATCTCATTTCGCAGCCTGCCTGTGCAGCTGGTCTCCTCTTTCCTTCACACTGCGCAAACGCGCAGCAACAAATCCTAAGCGATGCCGTGTGGAACTATAACGCACTGAGTGAATGGGGAAGTTTGCATGTTACGGCGGAAAATTGAAGCACGTCAAAATGCATCAACACGACAAATCTAATATGGCATAAAAACAATGCCATAACTGACGGAGTTTGGCTACATCGAGGCTCACTGCAGTAAAAAAAAGACATACGGAGGATCAGATAGCAGGTAAAGCAGCGCACAGCTACAAACACTCACCCGGATTAGCAGGATGACGGTCAGAAAGCTAAACAATAACCCGCAAAATTATTTAAGTCTTCGAGCTGCGATGTAAGACGCTGGTTCTGCTCTCGCTGTTGAACCGCTGCTACGCTACAGGTAGTAATATTTCATAGACGGAGCTTCGCTTCTGCTCCACCTGGTAGTGACTCTCACACCGAACCTGCTTAAAGCTGCAGCATCTAACTTAAAATACATTTTACATACGTATTAAAACTTTCGCTGCACTAACATGAGACAGATAATCTCTGAAAAAATAATCTATCTCCTCCCTGTCCTGCATAATTCCTCTGCTCAGTCAGAAACAGCCAATCAGAACTAGCAGTAATCAGCTAGCCGCCATGCTATCAGGAAGTTTTCATTCAGTAAATCTGGATTGTTTATTGTAATGGATCTTGTATTTATTTGCCTGTGAATGTTAAGTTTTATACTTGAATTTTTTTGGCAATGTTGAGAGGTTTTATTTAGACTTTTTTGCATTATTTAGCCTCTTCAGAGCCTTCATATGTTTTCAGTCTGTTAAAGATAATATTACTGATAGCAGTACAATTTGCACAATGCCTGTTTTGTTTTCTTCTTGGAAAAAGTTATTAAAAACAAGTTTTTGTCTAAATTAAGGTGAATTCATGGTTCCTTTTTCCACATAATGTAACCAGTAGTGCTTATGATTAAAAAAATAATAATTATATGATCGGTCGTGATCGGCCCTCATGGGTGATCGGAATCGGAATCACCAGGAAAAAACCTGATCGGCACATCTCCAATATCAACACAGAAGAGTAATGTTTGATTAATGCAGTTAGGCTGATTGTCTCTGGATGGGGTAGACATAAGAAGGGAGGCGCTGTTCAGCAGCCTCACCGCCTGAGGCTACAAGCTTGTATAAACCTGCACCTCCTACCTGAGGGCAGCAGATGGGACAGGTGATGCACCGGATGGTGTTGGTTACAAATACTTTTGCGGATTCTTCTCAGCCAGTGGTTGGTGCGGATGTTATTGCTCTCTGGAAGAATTGACTCCAATAACTTTCTCCGCTGTGTTAGCCACTTTGCTTATTGTTCTAGGTCAAATCCTCTGAAGTAGTTACTCCCAGGTATTTAGAGTTAGGAAGTCTCTCTATTACCTCCCTGCCTGCGGAGATCTGTGAGTGGTTTTGTCTGCTTCTGCAGAAATCCACAATAATTTCCTTGATCTTTCCGATGTTCAGAATCGGGTCATTGTTGTTGATGCCAGATGTTGCAGTTCAGTCCTGCACAGTGTCTCGTCAGTGCCGATGAGGCCGAGCGCTATGATGACATTAGCAAATTTTAACAGTTAGATTTGAGGGAAAGGAGGACGAGCAATCATGTATGGAAGAGAGTGCGTTTCTTTCTGTTTTTCTTTTATTTTGTCATTAAAGCTTTTGATTTAGAAAGTGTGCTTATGAACTATTCTACGTCAGGCTTTCAGAAGGCCTTTTAAAGCTTGACACATGAGATAAAGATTCAGTTTTCCAGATTTAATCAATATTGACTCAAATCTTGTCTTTTCCTTTCACTTTTGGATTTTTACTCTACTTTCTGTGGGTCCGTCACATAAAATCTCTGTAAAATACGTCGTCGTAAAAGAATCTTTGTGTGAGCCTGATTCCTTTGACTAAAACCCGATGAAAGCTGGTTGTGATTCATTGCACTCTCGACATGACTTTTTAACTAGATCCTGTTTTCTGAACACACCCTTATTTCACTACTGGAACAGCTACAGCATGTTTGCTGAGCAGTTTTGGAATTAGTGTTGCACAAAGCGGCGATACTGTAGCTACCTCTCTGTATTCGTATGAAAAACAGGTTTTACATGAAGTGGAGGGGGGGGATTATTTGGGATTAGTGGAATCATTGTGCTAAATGCATATCAGTGACATTGTATAGAAACTGAATAGTTTGCTCGCATAATAAAATCACACTGAAGGGCTTATGCAAGAGTGCATGCATACTATCGAGCTCTTGTTCGTCATGTTTACAGGAAGCAAAAGCATAAAGCTGCGCAGCTTTTTGATACAAACGTGAGATTTACACACACACACACGCGCACACACACACACACAGAAAAGGGATTCTGTGTTTTGCTCGTGCTGTTGCCAGGAGACTCCCCGGGTTTTGATTTTGGAAAGTCAGACTGGGCCAATCGGCTGTTTGCTGTGGCTTCAGCTCCGCCAATAAGCTCAGAGTTAGGATGCTGTGTGGGTGGGCCGCTCAAATGTTTTCACAGCACCTTATCCATCTCGGTCTCTTCTCTAGGGGATGGGGGCAGGGCTGGCACTCTATGTCAGTGTGCATGCTTGCACATATATGTGTATATAAATATGCATGATTGCGTGCATAAGCAGGTGCTTCAGATACATATCACACAGAGTTGCTTTTGCACAGCATTCCTCACCTTTGTTTTGGTTAATCTTGCAACAGCAGGAAAGCAGTTTATTCATGTTCAGATATTCAGCGCATCGTGTTTGGTTTTTCTTTTTTGCAGTTTCAGTCTCACTTGACAAGATTGTAGATGAGCGCAAAAGAGCCACTGCTCATTTTAATGTGTGCAACTTTTCTTTTATAATGAACTGTATTTAGCCACATCGGTGGCATCCTACCGGTTTGTGTTTTTTAGCTTTGTGCACACACTTGACCACAAAGGAAGTAAAAAACTGTATTCTGTGTAATGTCCCCATTTGTGTGATTAAAGAGCTGTGTAGTCAAAACATAGCATGATCTACAAATAATATAATCAGATCAAATTAGATTTGTTAGTTGGGCTTAATCTAAAGAAACATTTGAGGTCACTTTGATATCTGGTTATTGTACTTCAGTCAAGGTTACTACAGAATCTTAAATAGTTTAGAATTTACTTTTGTTATTTTCCAGATCTAGAAAACTAATAAAGAAAGCAATTGCATATGGATAAATAGTTGAGTTTCCACTGATCTACATTGGTCCACCAGAAGCCTTTAAACTGTAAATGGCCCCTTTACCACACCAAGACGTTGAAAACCAACTTCTGTGTTGTCTTGTTTCATGATTTGTAGAACATACAGATGCCAGGACCTGTTTGTTTTGCAGGTGAGGTTCTAGTACTCAAAAAAAGCCAACGCAAAAAAACCAAAAAAAAAACATTTATTTTTGAGCAAATTTCCATCTGCAAAGTCTGTATTGTTGCAACAGAAAATCAGTGGGAACCTAGCTTTGCGTGGTAAAAATAGGCCTCATCAAACTTGTTTCTCACCTCAAGCAACTTTGGTGCAAGTGTGATGCTTTCTTTTGATTTAAAACAAGAATATTTAATCATGTGAGCCGAGTATTTTCCAATGCCGTGTTCTGTGTCGAAGAGCAGGCAGTTGTAAATGATTACTAACCTCCTAACTTATGTTTCTCTGCAGGTAATCGGACTCTTAGATGTTTTCACGCCTGCAACCAGCTTAGAGGAGTTCAACGATGTGTAAGTTACTTTTTCCATACCCCCCCCTCTTTCTGCTGCCTTTTTGTCCCCACTCCGGGAGTCTTTGGTTCTTATTGTTTTTCAGTTCCTCTTCCTCCTCTCTGTCTACGCTTCTGTTGCTTGACTTCAAACCCAAATGACGTTTGTGCAACTCGTGGCAGTTCTGCAAAAGATACTTAAAGTTTGTATGAGCCCAGCTTGTGGTGAGCGTGTACCAAGGTGAATGCAGGGCTGAACACGCGTGCACAGCGCACATCACAGCTAGTCTCCATGGTAACAGCCATCTGGCCGTCTCTGTGCATGTACTCTGTGTGTGCGTGTGTGTGCGTGTGTGTGTGCGCGCGCGCGCGCTGAATCCTCAATGAGCGTCCTTGAATTCTCTGTGTGCTGTTGCGTCATCAGCTTGTTGCACATTTGTGGAAATGTGAGCTGAACCTGCACAGACGATTCAGGATGTGTGACACCCCTATTTTAGGTGAGCGTTCGTGAAGGCAGTAAAAACTATTTTCATCCTGCAGAAAATCAGATGGACACAAGTCTCTCACTGATGATGATGATTCGGGCCATCAGAAACAGAGCATTAGACCGCGCATCAGTGCACAGCATTTCCATTTGGTGAAGCAAAACGGGTTTCAATTTCACAAAGTAGGAGTAAAAATTCAGCTTTTGTTTCATGCTGTTCTAATTCAGGATGTTGATGCGTTCCGATTACGAATGTGTTCTGCTGTGCCAATTATGAGTTGTATGCGTTTGATTTTGAATTTCGTTGATTAAGACAGTAAATGCATCAAATAGATACATCTTAAAAAAAAATTAGAACATAATTGAAGAGTTAGTTTATTTTAGTAATGCCATTCAGAAAGTAACACTTACTAAGGTACCTTGCAGAAAAAAGTGACTGGATTATTGCTCAGCGGTCTATAGTCCTCTAAATGGCAAAAAGGAGTAGTAGTAAGTGTTTTATTTGGGTATCAAGGTCCCAGAGTCTGGAGGAAGAGTGGAGAGGTTAAGTTTCTCCAGCCTGTGTTTACTGAATGATTGAAACCATGCCATGTGCTGCAGTTGCTATGCGTGTCTCAGGTTTGACAATTGAATTGCTGAAACAAATAAACTATGATCTTCTCATTTACCTCCTTCCACTTGGTAACTATGTCAGCGTTAGAAGCTAAAGAGAATAAAATAAAGGGAAGTATTTGTTACAAAATGCAACAAATACTTGCAATGAATGAACTGAAAAATCTCTTTAAAGAGAAAAACTAGATGTTGAAAGTGACTGTGGGCAGGTTATGGTCCTAGTTGCAAAAATGAAAGCACACCTTGTGGCTGAGAATCAACATTTTCATTTTAAGTAGATTATAAATAAAAAAAAAAAAAAAAAAAGCAAACCAAGTTAATATTCAAACAATATATTCCTTTGTTTGGATTCTATTATAGTGATAACCATCCTGCACCCACAAGTTACAAATGAAGCATAATGGATTGACGGCCATAACTCTAGAAATATACATGCTCAGTTAGCTCCATACGGCTCCATCTATTTTAGTTGAACAAAATTGAATAAAAAGAGAATCTGTATAGAAATAAATGAAAAAAAAAAAACATGTAAAAAATCTCTCTGTATAAGGAGCGGACACATGAACTTAGTGAGCATATCAAGGCCGATCCATTTAAAGTGTTATTTCTTCTCCATTTTCTCCTAAAATACAAGATTGTTTGGCTCAGGAGGTAAGAAATTGTGGCTTTCTGAACATGTTAGGAATCCAGCTCCACCTCTAACAAACGTGGATGTGGTTTCATTATCAGGAAAGCACGAGTGAAACTGATGCCCAAGCTGACCTTCGTTCCTTATGCTGATAATGCTGATGGGTTTTTAGAAGCTTGTAAACATCTTGCCAAGTGTTACAATGACTTACCAGACAGTTAGGGAAAGTAATGTAGCACGGCAAAGCCTTTACACATCTATGAAGGCTGATGCTCATGTATAATAAAGACCACGTCTGATCGACTGTTTCGTTTGCAGATATCTGGTGACGCACCTCATGGGAGCAGATCTAAACAACATTGTCAAGTGTCAGAAGCTGACAGACGACCACGTCCAGTTTCTCATTTACCAGATCCTCAGAGGCTTAAAGGTTGGTGCGAGTCTCACTCAATCAACAGCTTTAACTAAAATGACTAAAATTAGTAACTGGGTGCAGCTGGGTAAAAATGATTCTGAAAAGCAATGATGCATATATTTTCTGTAAGCTTCTTTATAATTTTATAAACATTTATTGCTTTATCTAATCATAAGCTTTCAGGTCATCTTTGGTCTTGGATGTAATGCTTTTAGTCGACATGTACAAAAGGAGTCAAAACAATGCAATAATCAAACCTAACATGTTTTTTCATGTCTTGTTTTTGCATCAGATTAGATTGTGTTCACGTATTACATGTAAATATGTATATTATGCATATATATGTACATATTTCATTGTCTAAAATAGTATTGAGTTTGGGAGTTAAACCCATTGTTTTTGCTCTTTCTCCTACAGTACATCCACTCAGCAGATATAATCCATAGAGTAAGTGTCGGCTCTGCTGAATATGTAGATAAACTCCATATATTAAACTATTTTCTTTCAACCAAAGCATACTGTTTCTTTTTTTTTTTTTATTAAACATGCTGACTGAGTGGAACCCTTTACTTTTTTCTAGGACTTAAAGCCCAGTAATCTGGCTGTTAACGAAGACTGTGAGCTTAAGGTGAGGAACATTTCCCAGAACTGTGTTGGACCCACATCACTATGAGCGGTGCTCAGCACACTGTTCTGTCTTCTCATTGCTCAGATCCTTGACTTTGGTTTGGCGCGGCATACAGACGACGAGATGACGGGATACGTAGCGACGCGGTGGTATCGAGCCCCAGAGATCATGCTCAACTGGATGCACTACAACATGACGGGTAAAATGTCACAATTCTTAAAACTGAGATCAACATATGCGGTTTTTACAAATCTTAGATTTTGTACTGTGTGCTTAATTGTACTCTTCCGTTTGGATAAATAGGCCTTATTTTTAAGGCCATTTTAAACAAGAATAGCAAAATAATCTTCAGCTAGCAAAATAATCTTCAGCTCAATGTTTTTTTTTTTAAAGAAAATCTTTTTACCTCATCTGTACAGATTAATTTTCATGCTTCTGCTAACAGATTTTTTTATTTTTATGTTTAACAGTGGATATCTGGTCGGTTGGATGCATCATGGCGGAGCTGCTTACAGGACGGACGCTCTTCCCAGGCACAGACCGTATCCTTTCACTAATGTTACTTACGTCCCATGCATTATTAAATCTCTCTTTGACCATCATTTCTTTAATGCTCTTCATCTGGAGGACATTTTTACTGTTTATGTAATTCAGTTTTACACCAGTCTGAAAACTCAACAATCCTACCCTGCTCAGGCTAAGCCAAAAGTGTTGCAAAGTGTTTGTAGGTTGCATGCTGGAAGAGTAAACTGATTCATGCGATGCCCTTATAGTAGTGTTGTGATGGACCCTTTAGTGCAGGGGTTGCCCAAGTCCAGTCCTCGAGAGCTACCATCCTGCAAGTTTTAGAAGTATCCTTACTCCAACAGACCGGGATCAGCTCTACAGAGGCCTGATAACGAGCCATTCATTTGACTCAGGTGTGTTGAAGCAGGGATGCATCTGAAAGTTGCAGGATGGTAGCTCTCGAGGCCTGGACTTGGGCACCCCTGCTTTAGTGCATTGCTCACCATCTTCTGCCTCTCCACGACTGTGCATTGTTCTGCTTCTCTTCCACAAGGATAACCACAAACAGCAGCTGAGCATTCAGATGATTTTTTTTTATTTATTTATTTTTTATTAAAACATGCATGATGATAATATGTCAACACAATGAAATGCAGACGTTGGCACCTGCCAATGGGGCAATGGTCCTGTGACAAACAAAAACAAGGGGCTGCCAGGCGATTGTGTAATGCGTTTGTGATCCTGCTCTAAGTAACCAACTCATCCACGCTTTCTCTGCACGTCCTGTGTGTGGGAGTCGTTAGAGTTGGGATTTCTTACCACATGTGATTCACTCTTTTGAAGAGCAATCTTTCTGGTCTGCCTCCTCATAACCTCTCTGAATGAAATATGAATGTTTATTTGTCGGGGTGAAATCTAAGAGGACTAGGTGCTTGCTTATTATTGTCAATTAATGCAATTATTTGCGATTGTGGTTAAAAGTTACGACAGATGTATTGTGTTCATTGTAAGTGCTGTGCTCTCTTAGTAACAGCAGATCAGATTTAAATGAATATTTGGTTCGCTGGTTTGCTGCATGTCCGGTTTCTAGAACATCAGCGTGTTGCCACATTAATGCTGTTTTCTGGATTCAATTCTCCCAGAGTGAGATTGTTTGGTGGGAGAAAGTTAAAATAATAATCGGAGGTAGTTTTGTGGCTCATTTCCATTCTCCAAAATTTTCTTTTGAATGTCTGACCTGCTTATAGTACTTTTAGGCTAGCTCAATTTCTCTCCAACAGCTTATGAGCTATAAGAATAGCCTTAAGATGTATTTTTTGATTGATATATTTATATTTGAAGCTGTTGTACTATGTGTAAGAATGGAGTGGTTGTCAAACAGGGTTGGTTCTACTATTTTTTTTTTTTTTTAAATCAGACAAAATGATGATGAAGTTTAAGATCTCATATTGGCTAGAATCCCTGTGTGAGTTCCCTGGAAAATGACGACGTTTACTTCAGCTGAGATTTCCAAAAAGAGGTCAACATCTCCAAATGCAGCAAGCTCCATGGCGAGCATATTTTGAAAGCTGAAGAAAAAGTTCAAATGACGTCACTTTGCTGTACTCCATTTATCCTTCCTGTTATCCAATGAACGTTTGCTTTCCCCTGCTCTCTTGCAGCCTAAATGAGTCCCAGGCTTGTTGAAAAAGAGAATAGTTTTCTTTTATGTGATGTGTATAAAATTAAGCCTCCTCCGTCTTACTTTTATACACATCACTCGTACTGAAAATGGCTCCATTATGGTCCCCAGCTGATTCCTCTGTGAACCTCTAACAATGGTCATTTGAATTCAATGGAATAACACTGCACGGCATGATATTTTACACGTTGTTATGCTTACTGAGGAAGTAAGCATAACTCCTTTCCCACATTATAATGAAATAGTTTGCAAAGTCTTATAAAGAGCATCTTTGAGACAAACTTCAATTCAAACTGAAGAATAACACAACAAAGTGTTTGAGCAGGACTCTTCAAATCCAGTCCTTTAGCCACTGGTTTGAGCATTTATTTATGTTTTTGTTTTAATACAGATAAAACATTCCATTAACAAGTCCAAAGATGAAAAAGCAAAAATTATTTAATCCTTACTGTGTTTGCAAGACATGAATGGGAAAAGCAGAAGCAGCGGGAGATGAGAATGAATGATTTCCAGACGTGAACAGCAGCAGGGATCATTCTTTAAGATCAGTGTTTATCAGAGAAAAGACTGTGAACAATTTTTCTGAAAATGAGAGAAACGGCAGCTTTTGTCCATGAAAGTCAACAAAACACCAGTCAGTTTGCTGGAGATGAAGGAAAGGCTTTTCTGTGTCGGACAAAATGCTTTTGACATCTGTCAAACAAATTTAGCGCTCAAATGTGACGATGTTTAATGGAGCACATTTATCCAAACAAGTAATATGTAATGTTTTCATTTTCTGCTCTCAGTCTTGATAGAGATTAAATACTGCAGCAATTCCCATTCATTCTCGCTGCATTGCATTTATTACTCTAAATCTCAGCTAAAATTACTTTGGATTATTTCTTCATTTTTTTGCATGTTTTATCACTCATTTTTCCTTTTTTTTTATCAGTGCCGTCCATCCATTCCTTTGTTTTTTTTTTTCCTTCATGTGAGTGTCGTAGACATTGATCAGTTGAAGCTTATAATGATGCTCGTCGGAACCCCAGGGCCCGAGCTCTTGATGAAAATCTCTTCAGATTCTGTGAGTGCTAAGTACCATCCCGCCTAGTTTGTCCGTTGCCTGTCTGTGCGTTCATTTGCCACTGTTTTGTTCTGGTTATCGTTCGCCCACTTCCTTGTGTTTACACTAAACCATCTTCAGTCCAGCTTTGTGTTGGACTGCAGTTTGACTTGTTTTCTCTTTGCTTTCCATGTCTGTCGAGCATTCTTTGAGCCCTGCCGAGCGCTAAAGGATTTTAAAATCTTTTTATCTGTGACAGTCAAAAGAATGCTGTATGTCGCAGCTTTTTGTCTGATACCTCCCCTTCCACTCTTCTACATCTGCCTCTTTCCATTTAATTATGGACTCCACTAACCCCCCACATCCCCCCCATGCTTGTTGACTCGCTATGATTCCCCTTGACTCCATGGCTTTAGATATAAACCAGCTGCAGCAGATAATGCGCCTGACGGGGACTCCCCCAGCCTCCCTCATAAGCAGGATGCCCAGCCATGAGGTGAGACCCCCTTTCCCTTCCCCAGGTGGCCTCCTTCTTCAGCCGGAGTCAGAGGGCGGGGGCAAGCAGTCAGCTGTCGGCTCGATGTTTGTTTGCAAACAGATAGCGGCAGACTTCCCTTCCCCACCAACAGGCTCACCACCACTCTTTGCTGTCGCTCCACTTCTTCCCTGTTTCCTTTCTGACTCACCATGCCTGTCACTGCGATGCCTTTCGGAGTGCTGTCGTGGTGTGGCTTCTGTTGCACTGGTGATTAGTTTTCAGTAGGAAATTTTGTGCAGCGTTTTATTTATTTTTTTTTTTTTTCATGGGGTGGTTGTACTCACTTAAGTGTGTAGAGTGTAGGTCGTTGGCTAAAAGTTTGGAGCCGTCTCGCTACACCCGGATGGGTTGCTGTGTGAATATTTCTCGATGGTGACAATAAAAGGCGGCATGATTTTTATTTTTTTTTTAAACAGTTTGTCTTATTTTGTTTATCTCTTTAACAGGCAAGGAACTACATTAACTCGCTTCCTCACATGCCCAAGAGGAACTTCGCTGATGTGTTCCTTGGCGCCAACCCTCTTGGTAAGTTCCTCTTTCGTTGTCGGTCTGTGGTTTTTACCACTTCTGGCTCACTGCTTCCCCCTAGTGGCGTCATAAAGCATTATTTTTTAAAGTTGCCATTAATCTTCACAGTAGTATAAATCGATCTAAATGTATTTCTGCTGTTGAAAGCAATTGAAAAATGTTATGATGAAGCGGTATACCATTGAATAAGCTTACTTATTGTGTATTTTATGTATCTGTTTTAGCTATGTGTATTTTTGTGAGTATTTGATTGAAATATGGCTGGAATGGTCCTCTTGGGTTGAACAGCTCATTTTCTCTTTATGTAAATAGGAGGCAAATATAAGTTTGCACTTCTTTCTGCTTTTTCATTCATAGTTTATTTTTAGCTGTTACATTAACTTTTCATATGCATCACTGAGTGAATGAAATACAAGATAAAATGAAAAAAATGTTACCTTTTGCATCGGAATAAGTTGCTAATATGAAACTGCTAATAAAGACTGCGAGCAGGGGGCTAAAAGTTATTGAGATGAAGTTTCAGCACATCAAGATATTATAAGTAAAGGAAAGAGGTAAAATTGTGCAGATGGATTGGAATTAGAAGCTACTCAAGTTTGCTTACATTTTACCATGCTTTCCTCTGTTGTTTAAAATTTGTCTCCATGAAACCAGAAATCTATTTTGATGGGATTTTATGTGATAGTCCAACACATAATTCTGAAGTGAGGGGGGGGAAAAAAAACTTTTAAATTTCTTTTATCAAGTTGCAAGTGATACAGGCTGTAATTTTGTGAGTTGTACATATAAATAGGTTTGTGCAGAGTTTATGCTCAGCTTGCGTGCATCCCTCCTGTAATTCAAAATGGCATCTCCAGACGTTAAGTGTCTCCAATTTGATTTTGTTTTGGAAAGAACTGAGTGGAAAATTTAGTTTCGCACAATTTATTTTAATGGACCTCGTACTGCAAAACCACACATGTCTAGATTGTCACAGAATGTCTAAACACGTCAGCGTTCCTCACTGTAAACCCTACATAACCGTTGTGCAACAACCATTGTGCTTTCAGCTGTAGACTTGCTGGAGAAAATGCTGGTGCTGGACACAGACAAGCGGATCACGGCGTCGGAAGCGCTGGCGCACCAATACTTCTCTCAGTATCACGATCCAGACGACGAGCCCGAAGCGGAGCCCTATGACCAGAGCTTCGAAAGCCGCGACCTGGAAATCGAGGAGTGGAAGAGTGAGTTTGGAAGAGATGGAAACCCAGGTTGGGATAAGAATTTTGTACTAATTGTTGCGTTTTCCCTCCTTTAGGCCTAACCTATGACGAGGTAGTCAGCTTTGAGCCGCCACCTTTAGACGATGAGATGGAATCCTGAGTGGGGAAACGCCTTTTTTTCCTTTTTGTTTAGTTCTTTTATTATTCTTTTTTATTTCAAAGGAACACTCTTAAAACTATCAATCACATGTGACCATCTATTTGTTTCCTGCTCACATGCACAACCATGACATTCAAGTGCCTGCCATCATTTATATCTTGGGGACGTTGTGATAACATGTTCATAACGCCCCCTAATTTGAACCCTCTTCTGAGGCCAACTTTAACTGTTCCTTGTTTCTTCTTTTTTGCTTCCACCATTTAATTATTAGTTTTCAAGTTTTAGTCACCCAGCTTAAAAAAAAGCATACATGCCAGTATCTGAAAACAATTTCAGGAAATGTATTCGAAGATTCACATTTACAAAGTTTTACTACTTAGGAGTTAGCACAGCGGGGGCAAATTTTATTAGTATTTCTCTCCTTCAGATATTAGACAAAATGTTATTTCTGTGTAGATATTGCAGCAAACAGTATTTGTACATAAGTATTTTAGGCAAAAATAATTATCACATTAGAATATTCATCGACACTTTAACCAATCTCTTCAACAGTATGGATTTGATTACCAGAGTTCATCCTAAAATGGCCTAAATTGATATTGTATGTAATTTATACTATGTATGTACAGAATATGAGGGGGAATGTATGAGATTGACTCATTTTGACAAGAAAAAAAATCTAGGCTTTATATTTCTTCTTGGTTTTGTAGACTTGGTCATTTTTGTAAAAAGAAATTATCACTTATGGGAGAACTGCATATTCATCAGATACATCTGCATCAATTCATGAAACTTCTTTAGCTCCAAAATGAATGTTTTAGCAGTCATCAAAGCTCCAGTATCACAGCAGCATGATGAAGACAGGGTTGGCTTCGTAATTTATTCAGATCTGATGTTTCTTGTGAGAACATTAGCTGTCAAATGTAATTTAATCATATTGCATTTTATAAACCATTATTGCATTTATTGTGTGTGTTGAATGTTTTTGGGCACCAGTTTGCTCTGTATTTATGATCCTTTTTGTTAAGTTGTTTGTATATCAGTGTAAAAGAGAATGTTATTAGTCAGATTTTAGGGTTGTTTTTGTTATTTATGGAGAGCCTCTTGTTTCAGTATCCAAAGGCATCATTAAATATCTGGTTCCCCTCCTCCCCCCCCCTCATTGGCATCAGGGACTGCAGTTACAGCTTGTGTATGTATGCAGACAGAGAGCCATGTTGTCTAAAATGTGTTTATGTTAATTGGTTGAAAACTGAGTTCTCAGCATCCTGTCGGTATGATAGTCCTGTTTACAAAAACGAAGATGGTAAACATATTCAGAAATGTAGAGCCTTGAAAATGTGTTCATGCCCCTTTAATTTTTCCACATTGTGTTACGTTACAACAAGAAACTTTAAGGTATTGTAATCAAACTTTATTTGATGGACCGACACATAGCATTGGATAATTAAGAGGCACAAACAAATTAATGTTTTTTTTTTCTCCATAAATAAAAATGTAACATCAGAACTTTGGGGAACTGCCTTTTACTTTAATTACAGCTGGAAACACTTTATTTCAACTGGCTTTGTCCATCTAGAGACAAAATAATTTTGGATGAAAACCATCTGTGAACATTGACTTTTCCCAGTCTTGCCACTGTTTCTTAATTGGAATTAGGTCTGGACTTTGACTGGGCCATTCATCCACATAAATATGCTTTGTGGCCCCACAAGAAGTTCTTCTTTAGTACTAGATCGTACTAGAGAATGTTCTTCCACATTTTTCTTCTGTGTTATGACATTTGGGCCTCTTCACAATTCAATGCTTTGTGCTGGTCTATCACATGAAATCTAGATAAAATGCATCAAAGGTTATATATATATATATATATATATATATATATATATAGTTCCAGGGATATGAATAGTTTGGAAAGTCACTGTTTACAGCATCCCCGTCAGACCACTAAAATGAAGATTTCACTTTCAGAAGCCGGAAAATATTTTCCAGTCAAACCACATTTCTAGTTATACCACAGTTGCTCTGGCTAAGTCATCCAAACGACATTGCATATCTTTTTTTATTTTTATTTCCTTCTGGTTAGTAAATTGTTTTTTTTTTTTGTTTTTTTTTTAATGTATTACTTTACTGCATGTTCTATAAAAAAAATTTATGTCAGTGATTTATATAGGGCTGATTTTTTATTTTTTAAGATATTAGGAGGATCACAAGAACCGAAATGTTCACGTACTAGAATATCCAAGCAAGGCACATGAGTGGATGTTTACTCACTAGATGCTAAAGGGTGATGCTGAATTCTGTCATTTTTACACATCTGCATCAATCGGATTAAGATGTTTCTTCTCCAGGTCCCAATGTCATAAGTTAACCTGGTTTGCTTGCTTTGCCTGAGATATGTTCATGTATTTTCCACTGAGTTCTTCACCTAATGTACCAAGATAGCAAGGTCATGCTATGTGTAAATATACAACCATCAGTAAATAAAGGCTACTATTTTTCAAAGCTGTAACAGCGTGCGTTATTTTGGGTTGCGGTTTGGTGGTTAATAAAGCACCACAAGGGGGCAGCATAACGTAATCTCTTATTCAGAGAATTCAGTCCATTTTTCTCCACACCACGCATTTTATAATGCATTTTTATTACATTTAATTTGCATTGTGGCTGAGCACCTTTAAAGGTGCTGACTGATCACAGCTTTAACATTGCACTCGGCAACTTCTTGGTCTCGCAATTAGATAAGAATCCCATTTATAGAAATCAATTTAACGCCAAACAAATTGAAATTCTAAAATTAATTGTGTGCAAGTGTTTGCAAATTTAATCTGTTTGAGCACAGGTAGTCTACTATTCCTACATCCACAAATTGATGCAAAATAAAATTATTTGTAGGTATAGTAGGTTGATCACTACTGTAGTCTTTTGATTTATTTAAAGCAATTAGGTGATTCTGTAAATTTAAATGCTTCTGCAGTTTTCCGCAAGCGTTTGAGGAGACCGTGGGAAAATGCCCTGATAGTTGATAGAAAATAGGCTACATTTTGGTCATTGTTATTCGAAAACATATATTACACTTTGCTCCCTTTTATTTTGGTTCCGAGTTCTTTTTTTTAATGGCGGTTGGCAAACAACGTAGGTTCTGAGTTTTGTTTGGGCCTGTTGATTTAAGGCAGGTATGACCACCGATCACACGTTATTTAACTGGTGACCTTCTGATGAATCGTTACACCAGGCGTACTGTTCTCCGTAAATATCGGGGGGGAAAACGAGAAAAACGGAAAGGGCCAAAAATTCATATAAAAATATATTTAAAAATACAGGTTAATTAAAATTAGCCAAAACAATTCACGTAGGTAAAAGATTCAAGGAAATTACAGTTTCCGAACACAGCGCTCTCTATAGCTCACACCTCCATTAAGGCAGTGTCCCGCATTTCCAACAGCCACTGAACGCAGCACTTGACTGGTTGTTCAGCATGGAAAGAAAAGGTAACGTTGCTAACTAAACCAAAATGCTTTTTACTTGTTGAACCTGTTACTCACAACACATTGGCATTAGACGCTTATCGCTGATTAATTGCTGCTTAAATAGATTTAGCAAATGTTAAACAAACTACTTAACTACCGGTGTAGAGTAAAAGTGTACCATGCGCTCTGCTGTGTGTTTTCTGTGGTAAGATTATGTTAGCTTTAGCTTCACATGATGGTGCACAGTTTTTCCTCCCCCCAATACATTTTGTTATCGCTGTCTGTGACAAAGCATAATTCATACTGTGACAAATGCTTAAAAATAATAAATAGGACTATTTGTGGTGATAAGTATTTTCACAGCGAAACGTTCGAAGTTGCTGTTAGCTAAATTAACAATACCCACAATACACCGCTAAGCCAAGTAACCTGCTAACTACATAGTTTCTCATTTTACAGTCATTGTGAATTTTGTTACACCTCAGAAAAGTAGCTAATCTTTTTACTGAAATCTGGGGTAACGGCTCGGAAAAAACGCGGACTCGTGTTATCTCTGTCACACAAACATAACAGCGTGTTTTTGTCTCAGACCTGTTTTTGCTTTTTTTTTTTTTTTTTGTTTGTTTGTTTTTAGTTCTGGCGATCCAAGCGAGGAAGAAGAGGACGAAGCAGAGGAAACCTGGCAAAAAGTAACCAGAAAACTTCCTTTTTTATTTCTTTACATATAATGGGTTTCTTTACTCTGCTCAAGAGGCAGAGCAGGAAGTTTAGAAAGCAATTTGTGATCACAATAGACAGGGAAACTCAGGTGCGCCTAAAAAATTTGAATATTTTCCAAAAGTGACGTTTTTCCCCACCCCAAAGAATCAGTTTATAAAGAGAAACGGCTGTAGATTCATTGCACATAGTGTGATATACTTCAGCAGTGTATTTCTATTCGTTTTGACGAGTGTGACACTAATGAAATTTCCCGTTTAGTTTCTCACTAAATGTTACATTCTTTTCAGTCCTGCTGAAAAATAAAGTGAGCATCATCATAGAGGAAGCAGAGGGAAAATTGAAACACTCCTGGTCCTTGTAAATGACTTTGCTGATTTTAAGCTTGACTGAAACGGAGTGGACTGACACCAATAGATGACATGGCTTCCCACATTATTACTGAAATATCACACCAAACCTCAAACAATTTGGATCCAGTGCTATTCTGGTCTTCTTCCAGACTCTCAAGACCTTGATTTCAGCACGAAATGAAACATTTATTTTAATCTGAACATAACATTTGGACAACTACACAGCAGGCCAGTGTTTTTTTTTTGTTTGTTTTTTTTTTCCCCTCATCAGCCTAGTTAAGGCATCTCTGAAGTCTTTAGTTCAGAAGTGGTGTAATACGAGGAACAGAACAGTAGTAGTTCAGGATACATTTATGTGTGTGTGTGTGTGTATGCGTGTGTGTGAATGATGGATTTTAAAACACAGACTCTCCCACAAACTCTTGAATGAACTTTGCTTCCTCTCAAAGCTGTTGTTAGTCTTGTCCACCTTTTTTTTTTAATCATACTTTTTCCTTCCACTCAATTTTCCACTTACATTTTTGCATTCAGCTAAACTAGTTTAGGAATGA